TAACATTGTTGAGTTCTGTGCAATACTTACGCCATGGTGATTTTTTAGATGATGCCTAAAAACGTCCCAAGGTAGAAGCATGGTTTCTTCCGAAAGATGGCCTGAAAATGGTTGCACTTCTAGGTTGTCAACTGATATTTACCTTGAGATACGAAATGGAGTATTTAAGCTGAAATGAAAATGAGGTAAGTTACTGACAAACAAGTTGCTGAACCAATATAATAACAGTTTTGTTTAAAGTCATCATTTAGAAGGTTCCATACAATATATCAATGAGTAAAATGCTGTCTAACGTTTCTCACACTAATTGTTAGTTCATTATACACACACTGAATTGTCAATTAGTTAATTACCTGTTCTTACAAACTCTCCATTAATTTGGAGGAAATAAAAAATATTTTATCTTATCTTATAGTATAAGCACACTGAATTGTCAACGGACACTGATTTCTCTGTTATTTCCCGATCATCACAAGGATCACACTGGATGTGACCCTTCGGCATGGGATCCTCACTTCCCCTTGGCACCTGATCCAACCTCTGATGTTTAAGAGGTCCGTGTTTAATTGCTCCACTTCTACATTTTATTGTTTAATGGGCCTTTGAGTCCGAATACTGTACGTTATCTCAATATAATTCATTTCGTTACTGAGCATATATGTAACAAAGGAAGTAAAGAAAAATAGTCCTTTTAAATGTAATTTCAACAATATTTATATATAGAATTCTTTATGAAATATACATATTAATAAAAACAATCATTGATGTAAAAATTTGAAGAAAAACTTAGTGATGTATATTGTAAAAATATATACACTCCTTAAATGACCCCTTTAAGTTTAAGGAAACAAAGTTTGCCAACTACATGTTTTTACTTCCTGTTTAGTGCACTTTATAGGAAATAAGCACATTTTTAAAATTATAGGCGTTAACACACCTATATTTAATTTAATATATAATGTTTTTTTAATTAGAAAGAATCAAATGGATAATTACATAAGCAAGAGAAAAAAAACTTTTAAGTGCTTTAATTCAAGGCAAATGAAATATAAAAGTAAAGAATAAAAATGACATAAAAAACGAAAAAAATCTTTTAAGAACTTATCTATCAGCTTTGTTAATATTCTCAAAAACATTATTTTTAAAAGAAAACATGTAAGTTGTTTTCTTTTGAAATATTTATTTGCTTAATAAATCTATTAAATTCAGATTAAAATTATATCAAACTAATTAAAACTTACCCCACTAAGTCACTTGCTAACAATCCCTTATTACAGCTGATTTTCCTCTGCGCCCTTCACTCAATACAATATTAATCAAATTTTTCCGGAATTTTTCGAGCTACATAGAAAGACGCACGTATGCAGACGACATGATCGATCCCCGTCACCTTGAGACAAGGTCAGATTGATCGCGCGGGGGATGATAGTTCGCTATATAATAAAATACAGCGTCACGATAAGGAGTTGTTTGTTTATACATTGAAAATGCATCCGGTTTCTAAAATTTATGTAGCTTCTAGCTTCTTGCAACAGGAAAGTAATGTTTTAGTTCAACTTAGAAATGCATCGCTTTGTTTATATTTGTTCATGATCGCATTATACACAAAGGATGCATGAAATGTATTGGATTTCCCCATTTAAAAAACTGTATGTGTGCGTGTATAATTGGTTAATATGTTTCAATTTTTATATAATGGTGTGTAACTATTAAGTAAATATTAAAGTTTTCATTAAACATAAAGAAACAATTACATATAGCATATGACAATTAACATTTCTTAATTTATCTAGTATCTAGTTGGGTAACAGTTGACAAACTGACAGTAAATAGAACAAAACCAGACTTCTTCTTTAAATTGTATCAAAATTAACAAAACATAACCATCTAAACTTTTTACATACATTTTAACAAATGATTAATATATTCTCTAACTATTTTATTGCATTGCTTGAGTATTCTGTGCCTTACGTTAAAAATTCCTATTTTTCACCTTTCAATATCACATTTAAAAAACACACACACAGAAAATGAATTACTTAAAAACATTTAATATGCTATAAAAACTTTCAGTTTTAACTTAAATGTACAATATTTTTTAGAAATCAAAATGATAAAATTGCTTTCATCTAAAATTTGGTTTTGATCGTGCATGAATATAAATAAAAGAAAATCGTTCGGAAATTCTTTACATCAATCTGCTCATGACAATTTATTTACATACTTGTGATATAATATACCTGCATCTTATTTTAACTTAATACACCGTGGGGAGTCTAATACACGAGAAGCCGTATACGTGTCAAACTGCAAGGTGTTGTGTTTTAAAAGATCAAAAAGTAAACAATATAATCAGTTTAATCATTCATGTAAGGATATCAAATCCCAGAATGATAAATATCTAAAAAGAGGTTTAACAAAGTCGTGTACGAGGTGGTTGTACGTGAGAGCTAAGGTGTATCTGCCCCTTCTATGATTTCTTCTCAACTCACAAACATTTAATATAAGGATAACTACTTGAAAAATAATCAATAAATGTACGTACCTGTTCTACATTTTCTTATTCAGATTCACTTTACGTGAATTGCAAAAGAATTGGTGGGAACCAGGGGTAAACGAGTTTCCCTTACTTTTTGTAATTTATCGTCAAAAATATTACTGAGTTGAACAAAATTTGTATAAAAGTTATGAATTTTAATTAAATTGTAAAAGAAAAATGGAAAGAAAGAAAGGTAAAGAAATCGTAAAATTTTTGCATAAACGGATTTTCGAAGCAGGCTTATATTTCAGATTAATATGTCCTAAAACATTAAATCTTTTATCAATTAGAACATTAAAAGATACAGATTTTCTTAACGGGAAAACAATAATTTTCAGTTTCATTAGTTACGAAAAGACCTTCCTTACATGTAAGTTTGTATATATGTTCTTATTTCAAAATAAGTATTAATTTGTAAGAAGCAAGAGAAATAAACAATCATAAGAGCCTTTTTTACTTCAAAAAATAGTTTTGCAAATGTGTATTTTACTTGAAAATATTTTTATTGTAACTTTACTCTAAGGAAATATGCATTAGAAATATTCATGATTTATTTGTTCGTTTTAAGAGGTATCGACGTGAATTTTTTATGTTCTATCTAAAGCTACAGGACTTAAGGAAGATAAAGTTCTCATTAATGGAAGAAAATGTTTGTTAAAGATCAAAAGTTTTATTTGAATAAAGAAAAACTAAAATTTCTAAGCAAATTGTTTAAAAATTTTCTAAATTGAAAATTTTGATTTCAAATGTATGTATTCAAATGTATTTCGTATTTAATAGGACATATATAGTTGGCACTTTTGAATATAAAGTTGTCGTGTCTTTACATTTCAGCCCGAAATTTTTTTAAAAGTTGGATGAAATAAAGAATAAAATTTCTATTTTTAGTACAATGTTTTGTAGCTAAGCATATTGAAAAAAATAAACTTTTTTTTCAAGGATTAATTAAATGCAATTTGATTCAATCAAAATGATGTATCTGGAACTCCTGGGAAGGAAAATCATTTCTTTTTCGTTAGTTCCATTGATCTGATAATTGGATTAACATTTCTCGCTTCAAAGCCATTAACATGCAATGGATATAATCCATTCGATGTCAAGTAGAAATGTGCGAGTTGTAGTTATCCTTCTTAGTTTACGTACTTAACGAACGTCGGGCTAGTTGTTTTCTTCTGAGTCATATTTAGTCATTTTGAATTTCAATTCTAGTATTTCCTTTGTCCTTTCCTCTCTTTGTCTCAGAAAAAATCAAAATACATGTTCGTTTTTTTTTACAATTTACTTTTTTAATGACCAACTCATCACAAGACTTTCAGAGCTGATAGAATACAAAAGGCGCATTGGCCACATCGCAGAAATTAGAATATATTAAGCTGTTTTTATTTTGTTTCCTAGGTATGGTTGGATAGAGTTTCTACTTCAATAATTACATAAAACAAGAAAGACATGTTGCACTGTACTTCCCGATTAGACATAATGAATTATTATCTGATGATTTTTTTCACAATGTACAGTAAAAAAGATATAAATTGATTTGAGAGAAAAATACAATATACATACATCATGAATGTTTTATAACAGAAAGGAATCTATAGAAGTCCTATAAACACTTGCTTATCTAATTCATGTCTATATTATCTTCATATATTTACATCTAATGAATATTTTCTCCTTTATTTCTTAAGAAAACCCATTGCGTTAATCACTGCATGAACTACATTAGGCATGTCGCCTGTACAGATTTCTTGATCAGTGGCTGTTCCATCAATGAAACGTATAAAGACGTTCACATCATTAATACAATAGTTAATCTTTTTAAACCTACTCTAAATAATTATTTAAAAAGATATAAATATAAACAATAAAATGTCTTTCTTTGTTTGTTATTACTGGAATTAACGGTCGCAGCTATTGCAGAAAAAATTTACATAACCCGCTTACGCGGGTTATGTATTTTTTTTGCAACAGCTGCTTCCGTTAATTCCAGAAATAACGAACAAAGAAAGCATTTTATTGTTTAAATTTAAGTTTCTTATGAGGATCATCTGTGAGTCATATTCTTGTCAAATTCTAATAATATGTATATAAAGGCATATGAGAATCATATGTTTTATGCTTGCTTGTGCATGAAGATATTTTTTAAACTTTATCTTTCCTTCTTTTATACATCCATACTTACACAGGGAGAAGTGGCTCGCATGATTTTCATGCGATTGCCTTTTCGCATGAATTTCGTGCGAAAATCATATAAAAACCATGCGAAAAGTTCCACATGCGAATTTCATGCGAATGTCCTCATATAATATTTATGCGAAATTCATGCGATTTTCATGTGACTGAAATTTCGCATGATATTCATGCGAATTCCAAATTATCAGTTTTTCATGTAAAAATCGTGCGAAATTCGCATAAATATTATGCGATATTCATATACACAAGAGAAAAGCAATGAACAAAGAAATTGAACATTTCAATATTTATTTAGGTTTTTCTGCCACATCAAGTGATAAAAATTGCCAGTCTCTGATATCATATTGCTTGGATGTTCCTGGGTAATGCATTGACTTTAATGATTGTTGTGTTTACAGGCAGTTTTTCAGTACGTCTTTCTTTCAGTCTTGTGTCCTGACAAGTGTTTCCTACAAAGATTATTAATTAATTAATTAAATAATTATTTAATTATTATATTAATTATTATAAAATACTATTACCCATACTAATATTCCAATTGTTTAGGTCAAAGGGACCAATTCCTAGATTAGGATGACATTAAATACAATAAATTCAATGATATCACTTGAAAAGTCCATGTTTTGGCAACTTGAATTACTGAGTACCGTATAATCCCTATTAACCGCCCCTGCCCCTATTAGCGCCCCTTGGGTATTTTTCAATTGTCAGGAAATAAGGGCCCCCTGTACGGTGATTAAAATCATCTAGAATCATATAAAAAAAATGAAAGTGAAAATAAAACTTGTCTATTAACCGATTTCTCAGTGGAAAATGAATATTAATTTAGCATTTGGTTGAATTATCTTCACTTTCAGTAAAGTTAGAAATTATTTTAGTGGTTCTTTGTATTCATTTTTTATTTTCAAAGGATTTTTTAAGTTAAAATATGACATTAAATATCATAAAGACTATTCCAAAATAACCGCCCACTTTTTGCAATTTTCTAAGCGCCCGGGGCGGTTAATACCCTAAGGGATTATACGGTATGTTAAATGGTACTATATGTTTAGAGCGAAACAGAAAAGACCATGTGTTTAACAGATTCATAACTGCATATTAGACTTTAGAGGGATGTGTCAGACACCATACAGTGTGTTATTGACCTAGCGACTCTATATATCGGGCTGCTATTGAACCATAAATGAGATAAAAATTTTCATTTTAATTGTGATGTTCCAATTGGATGACAATAAGCATGTAATTGATGAATTTTTAATATATTACAGACAACAGTAAAATACTGAAAAGATTGATTTTTTAAAAATCTGCACAGAATAATTAGAATACCTCAACTGTGAATAAATCAAATGCAATATATAGTTACACTTTTTTTTGCATGGACCTCAAATTAATCCCCTAGAAGATTGAACCTTTTGTTTGACCTATGTCTAAATTATTTTATGGGATACACTTGGTCTATAAAAGTTGTGTTTACATGTGTCAGAACAAAAACACTGTCTGTGTGTTGTGTTCTGACACATATGTAGAAACTTGTAATGACAATTAGTTTAAATAAAAATAACCTTAAATTACTTACTCAAAATTTAGTAAACCTTCATATAGATGTCACTAAGCATAAAAAGGACCAGTCGATTCACCTGACTGCGTTACGCAGAACCTGAAATGAGAACGCAATCCGAATTTACTCTGAAAGATTTCGTTGCAAGTTGAATTATCAATAAAAATGTGCATTATAACCACAAAATATGACAAAAAATCAACAAAGCATACATATTTACCATTGTTTCAAAGAAGTATATCACAATCAGCCAAAAGGAAAGTCTAGAACAAACCATAGAAAGGAGCTCTTGCTGACTCGGATTTTTTTTTCTGTAACAGGAAGTGCAAGTAGAACCTGGCTAATCGGTTTCGTATTCATCCAAGAATCGGGAAATACCTTAATCTTTGTAATATTAGTCGTTCAAATTTTTATCTTAAAAATGCATCTCCACTTCAAAGACGAACGCAGATGACCAAGTGATATAAATTTACTTTATGGAACCAAAGCTAGTTCTTTTATGGAATGCCGTACGTCACAAATTACGTCATCATGCGACTTAGAAAGCAGAAAGAAAGTAAGAAAGAGCAGAATGTTTTCAACTCCATATTTTCTGTAAGTTTGTAAGATTCTCATCTTCTTTTTATATCAGACGGATGTAATAACTTTATTTGGGAATATTTGTTGACAGCTTAATAACAGATATGAGATTCAAGTGGATCTAACATTATCTATGGTAACGCATAACGTTATGTGTTGAAAATGAAAGATGGGCCTAGTACAGGTTCTCTGCTTTTCTTACAGTATTATTGGCCTATTGATAGGCCTAATGTTTTAATGTGTTTTTAATTCCTGTTGCATTGGGATCTAGTATATAAAATTAAACTGCAGCAATCAAATAACACACGTAGCATTTGGTGGGGGGGGGGGGTTGTAGATAGAATGTTGATGTTCTATCGTTAAAATGATAAAAATTAATGTCCTACGTACCCGGTGAGGGCTTAAGATTATTCTAACTACGGTGGTAAATTGCAACCCTCCCATTTGGATTTGCAAAAAAAAAAAAAAAAAAAAAAAGGAATAAGAAGAATTAAGTTCCAAATTTTTGTTTGTTTGTGTTTTTACCATAGAAAATGTTCAGTGAAAAGCTAATGTTGTAGGATAGGATTCTCAGGTTCTGAGATAAATATTTTCCTTTCTTTTTCAAAAACTTTTCAGGTAATCCATACAAATATTTTTTCCTAGTTTTATATCAACCTCCTCCTTTAAAAACCATACCCCACCCGGTATCCTATTGAGTTATTTAACTACATGCAGGTGTAAAATGTACATTATAATACCCTCCCCCCTTTGAAAAAATCCTTCCACCCCTCAACAAAAAAAAAAATACCCCACTGTCCTGTCCACAAGTACCTGTGCATGTGCATTCCAAAATGTATGCAGATATAAAGAGGCTTACTTACATCTGGAATGCAAGACAGAAAGTCCTAGTCACTTCCCTAAAATGAGTCGTACTGTACATATATTTACAAAATATTTATTAATTCGAAAATATTTATTAAATGTTGTATTCTATACTCACAGGTATAGTTTGCTGGTTATAAGCAGATCTATGCACGGCACTCCATTATACCACACTGATAGCTTCTCAAAGATTATAAATATGATACATGTAAGCAGGTAAGAAAAAAAATCTAAGAGAGAAATATTTTTTGCAGAGCCTGTGGTATACATTGTTTGTTATTACGTGTACATGTATAACAATCAATAACAATTTTGTTATTACGTGTATAACAATTTTGTTATTACATGTATACATGTAGCAAAACCTTAACCATTCAGCTTATATTTGCTTATCTTGCATTTCTTTAATGTAAATACATGTATATAATCTTCGTTAATTTATAGAATACATGTTTTTAATTTAAATAAAGTGACAAAGAGATAATGAACTAACCCAAATGAAAAAAAGGGGGAAACAAAATACTATAACAAACTACTTACAAAACACATGTTTTGAAAGTATTCTGATAGTATAGCAAATCACATGCAAATGAGCTAACAAAACACTATAACAAACTACTAACAAAACACTTTCACAAACTACTAACAAAACACTTTAACAAACTACTTACGAAACACTCTAACAAACCACTAACAAAACACTTTAACAAAATACTTACGAAACACTCTAACAAGCTACTAACAAAACGCTTTAACAAAATACTTACGAAACACACTAACAAACTACTAACAAATCATAAGCAACAAATCATCAATAAACCACTAAATTTGAATTTTTAAAATTATAATTAGCAAATTCACAAGTCTTTGAAAACATCTAAACACAATCTCATATTGAAACATTATAAACACCTTGCTTCACAGTATTTTGAATTCCAGGATTGACATTATTCTTCAATAGACAATAGCACACCATTCCAACATTTAAAAACTTGAGAGATATAATTCTTAAGCCATTGGCCACTTCTCCAATCACATACATTTTCACAGAATTTTCAAGTATAATTATAATTCATCATTTAATCCAGTGCTTAAAACTGATATAAGCTGGGTAGTATATGGATTAAAGGTCAATCTTAACATGAACAAAACCCCAATAAAAACAGGCCATATATGTACACATCCACATTCACAGATTGAAGGTTACTGTAGTCCAGCATAAAAGAACTTTTAGTCATGCAATAAATAAATACCTCTGTTATATCCAGATACATCCTGATTATGCTTTTTCCAATCAGGGATCAATATACATGTATATACTTTACATGTCCCTTCATCAATCTCTATGTTTCTCTCTGACCTAGTGCTGGTGGTTTGAAAATTGGCGCAAAACTAGTAACACAGGATGAAAATAGATAAGTTGTTCTTGGAAGATTTTACTGCACCTAGATAATTCAACCCTAAACATGTCTGTTAATCAAATGAAATGCTAACAAAATATTACTTTGATTCAGACAAGTATAATGAAACACTTTCAAAATGCAATTTCATTTTGCAGAGTGTAAAGAAACATTAATAAAACACCAACAATGTAATGAAACATTAACAAAATACCATGCCACTCCATCCTGTAAAGTCTTGCATTGATGTTTCATTAAATGCAACACTTTCAAAACATACTAAGAAAATATAAAAGTATGATTTGTTAGTGTTTTGAAGATATTTTGCAAGTATTTTGTTAGATTTCTTTTTCATTTGGGAAATGTTATTGAACCTACAGTACCTGACATTTTTTAGTTTCTCTGTATAGGCACAGTTACTTGTCATCACAAGGATCAGATTTCAAGTACCAGAGTAGTCCTAACTCCTTAATTTTCCCAATTTGTCAAAAGTACATGTAAGTATTTTATAATATTTTTTGTTAGCTCACCTGAGCCGAAGGCTCAAGTGAGCTTTTCTGATCAAAGTTTGTCCATTGTCTGTCTGTCGTCGTTGTTGTTGTCATTAACTTTTCACATTTTCGACTTCTTCTCAAGAACCAGTGGGCCAAATTCAACCACACGTTGCACAAAGTATCTTTAGGTGAAGGGGATTCAAGTTAGTTCAAATGAAGGGCCATGCCATATCAAAGGGGAGATAATTCAGAAATAATGAAAATTTGATGGTATGATTTAAAAATCTTCTTATCAAGAACCACTGTGCCAGGAAAGATGAATCTTACAGAGAAGCATCCTCAGGTAGTGTAGATTCAAGTTTATTCAAATCATGACCCCCAGGGGAAGGGCGGGTCCACAATGGCCAATCAAAGTTTTACATAGAAACACTTCGGGCTTTATGGAATTTAATCTCGTGACCAATTATGACTAAGCTGGGAATATTTCATCGAATTTTTCTCACCTAAGCCAGAAGCTTAAGTTAGCCCTTTTTATGCCCCCGTAAACAAAGTGTTGGGGTACAGTTTATAGTTTTTGTCGTGTCCGTCTGTCTCTCTGTCTGTCTGTTTGTCCTCAAAAACTTTAACCTTGCCCATAGCTTTTGATTTATTGGAGCCATGACTTTCATATTTCACATGTGTATTCCTTGTGACAAGACCTTTCTTTGGGTACTACCAAATTTGACCTCTTGACCTTGGAGTTTGACTCACTTTTACATGATAATTTTACACTTTTACTTTGGCCATATCTTTTGAACAGTAGACACCAGGACATTTATACTTCACATGTGTATTTTTTATTGAAAGACCTTTCACTGGATACCAACAACCTTGACCCTTTGACCTTGACCTTGTAGATTTCTGTACCTATGCAAAACTTGAACCTTGGCCATAACTTTTGAACGGTAAGGGATACGGTTTTCATACTTCACATATGTAATCCTTGTGAGAAGACCCTTCATTGGATACCAAGCACTTTGACCCTTTGACCTTGACCTTTGAGTTTGACCTACTTTAAAAAACAAGCCTTGACCATATATTTCAAAGGGTTAGGGCTAGTGCTTTCATATTTTACATATTTAATTCTTGTGACAAGACCTTTTATTTGATAACAAGAACTTTGACCCTTTGACCTTGACCATGGAGTTTGACCTACTTTTAAAGAAAATTAACCTTGGCCATAACTTCTGAAAGGTTAGGGCTAGGGCTTCCATACTCTACATAAGTAATTCTATGTGGCAAGACCGTTCATTGGATACCAATTAGTAACTTAGCCTTTAGGACTTGACCTTGGAGATTTTTGTACTTATTGAAAAAAAACTTTAATAATGGCCTGCTTTCAAATTTCACAATTGCTTTCCAGTGAGAATATCCTACTTTTGGTACCTATTAATTAAATTTGCATTTAAGAAAAGTTTAATCTTTGCTATGTTGTCATACGGGGGCATCAGTGTTTCACAAACATATCCTGTTTTTGGTCAAAATTTGTCGTAAAATTTTTCATTTTGATTTCATGCATTGTTGATCGAAACTTTAAATGCATTTTATAAAAAAAAGTACAATTGTAAAAATACCAGCTTATAAAAAATTCTTAAATTTGTGAGATTCTCAATAATATGATACATTTCAGCTAGTGACACAAGAGAAGAATGTGGAGTAAATGCCAATAAAGGCTCGACTGCAGGGGTATACCTGACTTCTCGGCAATTTCTGGTTATCACCATCCGAATGACCGATTCAGAGAAGAAGACCAACTTCAAGGTGACTCTTATGCATTGGTAAGGATTGAAATTTAATTTCATTAATATGGACACTTGAGGGATGCAAGTGTCAATTTATTGTTATTTGTTTTTAGACCTATTGCTTCTCTTTTCATCAGTTGTTGTGTGTCCCATCAGTAACAAATTATCCATTACTGACTGAACCATTATCAACCAAATTTTGCATGGTAAAAGTGCTTCTTGATAGAATGCAAACAAACTAAGTACATTTAAAGTATATACTTATAATGAGTATTAAAGAGTTCCATTTCCAAAATTGTACATTACTTTGCCCCTGGGTACCCAGTAATAGGTTCTGATGTTATAGAAGACATATAAAAAATGCAGTAATTCTTTGACAGTCATCTTTTTCTGCTCTTAGGTACTCAGCAAATAAACTTATGCATACATATATTATTTTATCCTATGTTTACGCCTTTATATATGCCTATATGACATCTTAAAGCGAGGACTGAAATGCAAGGCAAACTTAAAGGTCAAGGTCAAAAGGTCAAATTGTTAGCATCTGAAGGAAGGTTTTGTCATAAGGAATAATTTAACCTGTGAAATATGAGAATTTTAGTATTAACTGTTAAAAAGTTATGGCCTAGATTATAAAAGTGGGTCAAACTCTTAGGTCAAGACCAATTTTAAGGTAAAAAAAAACTTATTGAATGGTCTTGTCACAATGATTACAAAATAATGTGAAGTATCAGATTGATAGCACTAACTGTTCAAAATTATTAGCCTAGGTTAAAGTTTAGGGATTTTTTTTGTAAAAGTGGATCAAACCCTAATATCAAGGTCAAGAGGTCAAATTTTATAGTACCCCGATAAAGTTCTTGTTACATGAAATACATCTGTGGAATATGAAGCCATAGCCCCACCCACTCATAAGTAATGTGTTTAAAGGTTAAATATTAAGACAGAAAGATGGATATAACAGCACAAAAACAATATAAACCCAACAATCTTTGATAACAGAGGCAAAATTAGTGCATAATATTTCCATGACGGTTTAAATAGTAAAACAGATTCAAACTTATTCCTTTAAAAAGTTGAACTTTGAAGATATAAAATTCATGACTAGTCTTAATAATATTTTTAGATTTATTTCTGTTCTTTGCTTTACAGAGATCTTTCGCTGATGGACTCAAATTGTTCAGGAAAAAATCCAGCTACCACAGCCACACTGACAGATTTCTGGCGTGTGTTCAGAAGGAACATAGATGCAATGGTAGGTAAATTTTGCTTTTAAATTCCCTTGCAACGATACAAATTGCATCATCACATATAGGTCAATGAAACAGGGACAATTATCTCAAGGTTTAATTGATACCTGACACAAGATTGTTTTTAAGTTTAAAGTCATTTGCAGGAAAATTGTTTTCATTTTTTGTCAATAATTTTATACTTAAGAAACATTATAATTATACTTTTAATTATGATTTATGATGTATGATTTTGAAATCATTATAATTTATGATGTATGTTTTTTAATTTTTTAAATATCATTTACAATGTAGGCAATATAAATTCAACCTTTTACCAAATTGAACTTAGGGGTAATATGAGATTGCTATATCTACTTTTGTTCATATTTTATGTTATCTTGATAAGTAGGGAAATATTGACTTTGGAAATGCAGTTGTAAAATTCATGACTGCATTTCATTTACCGGTACCCAGTATTCATTACAATTATTTTCTCTTGCAGATGAAACAATCTCCAGACAGATGGGTGGCCCTTGAGCAGAGAATGTTAAAAAGAATTGAAGCATTCAATAAAGAAGATTAAGAAACAGAATGTGTCCAGTTGTTTGTTCATCAAAAGAATAACTTGGATAATCATAGTGGTGCTTCCTCAAAATCTGCATGTGTTAAAATTAAGCAGTTTCAAATTAAGATTTAGATAAAGCTCATTAAGTCATTTGCTGGATCAGATTTTGAGATTGTACTTATTGCATTTTTTTGAATACAGTAACAGTGAAACGTTGATGATTAGTTGTACAAATTCATATACAGATCTAAGTATTAGAATTTCCTAATACTTTTCATCAAATGGATTAAAAGAATTGAAAGTCCAATATACTAGGAAAAATATATAAATTACATCACATGGATTTGATATGAATATATCATGATATTTACATGAAATTCGCATGAAATTCATATGAAAATCTGTAAAGAAAGCAGCAAAAATATTCATATGAATTTCATGCGAATTTTTATTCGCATGATATTCGTGCGAATTTCATGTCAAAATCGCATGATATTTTCATGCGAATATCATGTGTGGTCCTTTTCGTCTCCTTTTCATGCAAAGAATTCGCACGATATTCATGCGAATTTCATATGAAGTTCATGCGAGCCACTTTTGCCTGTGTAAGTTATCTATCCGCCCTAGAGTCAAAAATTGCTTTTTATATGCAGTGAAACTATGAAAGCAGTGACGTAATGCACTTTTAAATTTTTTACAATGGAATACTGTAAAGATTTTAATGAATTAAAGTGATAACACGACAAAACTTCATTTAAAAACTGCGTTTAAAAGGAATACTCCTTTGTCTGTTAAAAAATAGAGAAGGGATTAAATAAAATATTCTGACAGAGAGTAAGACTGTCAAAGTTTCTCCAAAAGTGCTATTTAATCAAATGCATGTTTCAATACGACACTGCTCATTTATCAGGTCCTTATCCCTCACCCATGACGTCTTGCATCCTTAGTCACTGAGTTACAAACGACAGGCGAAGGGAACAAAAAAAAAATCAACTAAAAAATCAAATGTTTGATTGTTACACATGGAATTTATCTCATTTATGAGACAAAACATTTTGAAATTTTCACATGCACTTTGTAAAATTATGTTTAAAAAAACCCTGTCTCAATTATCCATAAAAATATTTCTCTAACAACAAAGCATTAAATATACTCTGTTAACGTTATACATTTCTAATATTTAATGAACCTAATTAGACCTGTTTCAGCCTCTCCAACAACTAAATTGTGGTCGGAATCAATACTCAGCCCTCCACTACATGGATGTTCGATGTAACGGACAAAGTTACCATCACAGTCAATTACATGGACAATATTATTGGTACTGTCACTTATGAGAATCATATGGTTGACATCAGCAGCAATGTATAGTGGAGAAAATTCTTTGTATTTTGACTGGTTGGCGATGTTACCATTGTATCTGAATCTAAATATTCCTGAATCATCAACGACAACAACGACATTTTTAGCTACGTCCACCACACAAACATCTCCATTTCCGTTAACTGTCAAAGGAAGAAGCATGTTGTTGTCTGTAGAAAACAAAGGCAGTCCCTGACTGTCGTATTGGATTCGTTGTACTTCCGTTTGCTTCGAAAACTTTGTCACCCTGCTCTGTTTTTGATGTGCAGATCGCATGCTCACTAATACATTGTCATATCCAGCAAAACAAAGACCTACAGTAATCCAATATTTTAAAGATAAATATCGTGAAAATTTTCCGTCCCTGAACATATTTATAGTTCCCGACGGTTTTAGTGCAACAAACAGTAAATCTCCCAATGCATTTATTGTAAAACGTGCAGGAGTATCAACGTTTTCTATCTTTTGTAAAAGATTTTCGCTTTTATCCATTTTCATGATTGTGTTATCAAGGCCGCTTGCCCATAGAATACCGTTGCCTGCACATTTTGTTCCGAAAAGTGGCATGTATGGGGATTGAATTGTCAACATTGCAGGGATCTTGCTTGATAACTTTAATTCTCTTATTATGTTCCCCAAACGAAGTTGGGGAACATATTGTTTTTACTCTGTTTCTTATTAAGGTCTTCCGTTTCAGACGGAAGACCTTATAGTGATTCCACTGTTTCTTCTTATTATGTTCCCCAAACGGAGTTTGGGAACATATTGTTTTTACTCGGTTTCTTATTATTATTATTATTATTTTTTTTTTTCTTCTTTGTTCTCCGGTACTTTTTTTGTCCGCGAGTGTTCTCAGAAACTGTTCACCCAACTGAGCTAAAACCTTTTTAGGGTTAATAGGTGTGTAGTGTAGGTGTGCAACACGAAGGTTATTTTGCGCGCATACGCATGCACGTGCGGGCGCGTGAAATGAGTCAAATGACGGATATACTTTATATAGCCATAACTTTAACATTTTTTGATGAAATATATTAAAACTCATTTAATAAGGATATATTAATAGTGTAGATAATGTGACACTGTCAAATTAGCACGAACTCACGCGCGTGCACGTGCGCTTCGCACTGATTGGCTGCAACAAAAATCTCATTATCTTTTCTGTTTTTTGACGAAATGCTATGAAATTTAAAATATAGGTATACTTAAGGATGTACTACAATATGATGTATAACAATTGTCATGTTAACACGCGCATGCACGTGCATTGCAATCTGATTGGCTTAAAATTTAAATGGCTATAACTCCCTTGTTTTTCAACAAAACAGTATGGGATTTAGAACATAGACAAACATAACAGACTCCTACAAGATGATACAGTCGACATGCACATGCATGCATGTGCGTGCACGTGAAATGAGTAAAATTACAAATACACTAGATTAAAACGTATTTTTTAATACTTTTGGATAAAACGCTGTAATTTCTAGTATATAAACAGTGTAGACAAGATGATTTGGTCATTACGCACATGCATTCAAATGCGCATGTGTGCAATGCATAAATTTGAATATACTGAATATACTTCTTGGAAAACATTATTATAGTCTGAAAGGCATAGAGTTCGTCTTATTTATTGAAGCTTACAGGGAATAAGGCACCAAAAGAGAGGTGGGGAGCGTTTGGAGAACATCTGTAACGGTTCCCGTTACAATTAGCCCTAGTTATGTTCCCCAAACGAAGTTGGGGAACATATTGTTTTTACTCTGTTTCTTATTATTATTATTCTTCTTCTTCTTCCTGGGTACTTTTTTGTCCGGGAGTGATCTTGTAAACTGTTCATCCGATGTAGGTAAAACCTTTTTAGGGTCAGTAGACATGTTATGTAGATTTGTGGAATCAAGGTCATTTTGCGCGCACGTGCTTGCAAGAGCGTGCGCGTGCAACACGTGAAATGACCAATATAATAGATATAGCCGTAACTTTTTTATTTTTTGATGAAATGCTTTGAAACTCATAATTTGATTATTTATTAGCAATATAGACATAATGACATGGTAAAAATAGCAAGATCTCACGTGCATGCACGTGCGCTTTGCTCTGATTGGCTGAAACTAAAGTCTCTATATCTTTCTTGTTTTTCGACGAAATCCTATCAAATTTTGAACATAGCCATGCATTAATATATCCTACAACATGATATATATAGCATTTGTCATAAAATCACGTGCATGCACGTGCGCTGCAATCTGATTGGCTTAAACTTTAAATAGCTATAACTCCCTTGGTTTTCAACCAAACAGGATGGGATTTGGAACATAGATAGATATAATGAACTTCTACAACATGATATGGTTGCCATGCACATGTATACACGTGCGTGTACTTGCGCTGTAATCTGATTGGCTGAAACTTTAAACAGCTATAACTGCTTTGGTTTTCAACCAAACGGAGTGGGATTTAGAAC